CCGTGTGGATGCGCTCATGCTCTGCCCAATTCCTCTCAGCAGGAGAGGCGGACGTCCACATGTGCATCACACGGCCAGCGATCTCCTGCAAGTCCGGGAAGCATGCRCCGTGCTCCACCCACCAYGACGCGCACCTGCTCGTCTCCTCGTCCCCTACACAGGCCTCCGCCTCGGCGTCCCTCRTCACCCTCTCTGTGTGGTGGCCGACCCTGGAGTGGAAGGATCGCATCTGCTCACGCACACGCAAGTATGCATCCCCCGCACGATCACCRCCTGTCTGCGCCAACAAAAACGAGTCGCACTCGGTGACGACCTCGAGGTCCGCAGTTGTCCTGCGGGCGGACTCGTAGTAACGGAKAGAGCGTCTGCGGGGGTTGAGCAGGTGCGCCGCARCGTGYGCARGCTCAAGCATATGCATAGTGCGGATCTGCACCSCCTCCACRCAAGGCCCCCGCATGTCATCAGGGACGTCAGCAGCAGCCACCTGCCGTACCAACTCCTGTGACCTTGAGTACATCGTGGACATGATCATGCCGCCCCTGTCCAATCTCCTCAACAGCTGGTGGACAGGGGTCATGACTGCGACAGCGTGCTGAACGTTGCGCCAGAAATCGGCGCAGCGGATGAGCTGTCGAACCCACAGAGCCTGTCTACGCTTCAACGACTCCCATGGGATCTTGTCCCATGCGTCGTCATGAAGCATGCTCTCCAAGGCATTACGCCTCGCCAGCAAACACACAAACAAATCAAAAAAACAGACGCGAATCGCGTCTCCATTGGGTGCACAATGCGTCGACGGCTTTTCACCCTTAACAGGTGATAAGCCGCGCCGTGCGATTTAATGAATCGCACCAACGCCCGAGCCCTGAAAATGGTGTCCGTAACCCAAGGAACCCGTGTCCCGATGTCAGACAACATCAAGTTGGCCACGTGGGTGGCACACGGGAGCCAAGTGATACTGCGAATGTCCGGATCAGAGTCCTTCGCAAGGAGCTTTGCGGCCGACGTGTAGTTCGACGCAGAGTCCGTGCAAATGGCCAACACGTCCTTCGGTGGGAAAGACCGAAAAATGGCCTTCCACCTCCTCAGGACGATATATGCCGTCTCGGACACTGCACCGTCTCGCTGGACGGTGGCGTATAAGAGGGCACCGCGCTTGGCGGCTGCGAGGAAGTTGACTATAGGCCTAGCGTCTCGCGACTGCCTACCGTCCGACAAAATGGTGGCCCCTATCGACTCAAACGAACTACGGACCTCCCTCAACATCGCGGCAACCTTCCCTCGCTGCTCATTAATACCAGCGCCCCCAATGTCCTTGAAGGACGGATAGACTGGCCGCACTCCGCGAGCCATGGAGGCCAACTGCTTCTTGTGCCGAAGCCATGACTGCCTCCTGAATGCAGCGAACGGAATACCGGCATCGTAGGCCCACTGCAAAAAAGTGTCCCTGAATCCGGCCTGCCCATCCGGATCGTACACCTCGTCCAGTCTTGACTGCCGCTGTCTCTTGCGCCCCTGTGGCACGCCCTCAACTCCACTCTGCACCGGCTTCTTTCCTTGCGCAGTCATAACCACATCCTCTCCCGACAAATCGGGTGTCGGGCCTGCCCCTCCACCCTCCTCACCGCCCCGGGCCTCTGCTCGCCTCGCCTCCTCGGCAAGGAACTCCTCCACCTCCTCCACATCATCACGCTCCTGTGGTCGTGACTGTGTCCCACCCGTGCGGCCCCTGCCACTGCCCTGATGGACGTCCACGGCTCGTCTATCCGCGATATCATGCTCCCTCATGTACGCCATGATACCGCGGTGATGACGCTCATCGAACTCGTACTCTGTGTGGTTCCAAATGTCCACAAGCACGTCCATCGTTGCCGCCGCACACCTCTTCAGCTACGTGAAGTGCTGTTGCGCCTTGAACAAATTGCCCTGCCACACATGCTTGCAATAATTGCAGCGGAGCTTGTAGTCCCCGTGCCTCTTCTGCCACGTCCCCATCCTCTGACCCTGCGTCACATGA